TTCACACAGGGCCATGTAGTTTTGGATTTTGTTTTCCCTTAATAATAAAAACCTTCATTTAAAAACTGCATGTTGTGTTTACTTGTGTTATCTTTGACTAATATTTAAATTTGTTTGATGATCTGAAACATTAAAGTGTGACAAACATGCAAAAAAATAAGAAATCAGCCAACACTTTTTCACACAACTGTATATCCATTATCCAAAGTATAACTGGCAAGCTGATAACATGTTTTATTGAGAATTTTGTTTTACATAAACGCATACATACATTTTAGTAGTGATGGGCGCGTTCGAAACACTGCTTCACGAAGCTTCGAAACATTTGTGAATCTTTTGTTTCGAATCAGTTTTCCGGAGCGCTAACAAACCGACCAGGTCACGGGATTTTAGCAAACGACGCTTCCTTACGTCACACTGTTTCGAAACGTTTCGAAACTCCGATGGTTCACCACTAGGGGGTGTTGATCTCAAAGTGAACCCATGAACCTCTTCTGGGTGCCCAGTTAATCATGTGACATGAAAACCCACGAAATTTTACTATAAAAATAAAGAATTCAGGGCCAGATCTTGTGGGTTAAACAAAAGATAACTTCTCTTTAACACAGATGGCTATATAGTTTTAAAAAATGTGTAAAAAACATTCAGTACTTTCAACCTACAAATCACATCATACCTTAAAAATAACAAAATTAGTTTACGATAGAATTAAATCCATCTCCTTCACCTTCTCCTTCACTACTCTTGCCTGCTGGTTTTTATAGACAACTCTAATGAAAACAATTAATTAAATAATTACATAAATCAATTAATTCATTAAATAATTAATTTAGTTCATTGTGTGTTAAGGGTTTGATTATACTTAAAACACATAACACAAGCACTAATCTTTAATAGTATTTAAGTGTTTATTATTTATTAAAAAAAACAAAAAAAACAAAATTGTATTTCTAAAAAAAACATTTCCATTTGTTTTGTAAGTTTGGTCTGAGTTCTTGATGCTTTTACAACGTTTTCACCAGCAGGTGTCGCCAGCATTTGCTGTTTCAAGAGCTTCGAAACATCGAATCATTTTTCGAAGCAATTGGTTCAATTGATTCAATGCTTCGAAAAGCTTCGTTTCTCCCATCACTACATTTTAGACATATTCCTTGCCATTGACAAAGTAATGACCGCTTAAAGCATCAGAAAACAATGGGATTTTAACCCGACCTCCCACTCAAAAAATCACACCCCGTGTAACTGTGAGCATCTGCTAGCTAGTGCCACCCAGCGGTCACACACTAAACTGCGTTCATCCGGAAGGCACGTTTTCTATGGAGCCAGATCAGCCTCAAAAATAATACATTTACAAAACAAAATTCATAAATGCACAGCACAATTTAAATGTACAAAATCTGATTTGTAAATTCAAAACACAGTTCATAAATACATAAGTAAAAGCATAAATATTTCCCCAAATGCTCACACAAATGCATCTTACCTAAATAAATGTCAAATGTTTAAACAAATATGTATACATCAAGTACTTGAATTAATTTCCATCACACATTTATGAATGATGTTACATGCATTTATGGATCGTTGAATCTGCATTTGCAAATCGTCACACGTGCGTGGACTGCTTTGAATTTGTGTGCGGTATTTCTGAGACCTTCCTGACAGGTTAAGATTCATAAATATCTTTTTTCTAATGAAAACAATTAATTAAATAATTACATAAATCAATTAATTCATTAAATAATTAATTTAGTTCATTGTGTGTTAAGGGTTTGATTATACTTAAAACACATAACACAAGCACTAATCTTTAATAGTATTTAAGTGTTTATTATTTATTAAAAAAAACAAAAAAAACAAAATTGTATTTCTAAAAAAAACATTTCCATTTGTTTTGTAAGTTTGGTCTGAGTTCTTGATGCTTTTACAACGTTTTCACCAGCAGGTGTCGCCAGCATTTGCTGTTTCAAGAGCTTCGAAACATCGAATCATTTTTCGAAGCAATTGGTTCAATTGATTCAATGCTTCGAAAAGCTTCGTTTCTCCCATCACTACATTTTAGACATATTCCTTGCCATTGACAAAGTAATGACCGCTTAAAGCATCAGAAAACAATGGGATTTTAACCCGACCTCCCACTCAAAAAATCACACCCCGTGTAACTGTGAGCATCTGCTAGCTAGTGCCACCCAGCGGTCACACACTAAACTGCGTTCATCCGGAAGGCACGGTTAAGATTCATAAATATCTTTTTTTTGGAGGATGTTCCGTTCAGTGGTGAGCTTTTAATCCACCAATCAAAATGCTCCTTACTGAACAGACTCAAGAAGCTCAAAGCTGCGCTTGTACTGTGCATTGTTCCATGATCGGGTCCTTTATATAAAGACATTTTAATGGGTACTCTTTTTTTAGCACCTGATTACAATTTCTACAAAATCACATTATGATTTATATCGTTCGCACAAAATACAGTACCCGGTTAGCCTGCTGTCTTATACACCAAACTTGCATATACCCTGTTTATTCAGATCAATCTGTAATGTTATTAAATAAGTGTTAAATGTCCAGATATTTTATTTAACAACAACAATTATGTAATGTGTTCTGTTGTTGTTGTTACTAGTAGTAGTATCAGGTTCGCAGTAACTTTTGATCAGGCATTAAAAACAGCTACCACCACATAAGGGAGATTTTGAACACACACACAGCGGAGAGATTTCAGCATGGAGGATGAAAACCAGATTCAACGAGTGAGTAAAGTCGTTTTTTTATCTGATGGCATTTTCTTA